ATATAAACTCAGAATTATATTATATAAACTCAGAATTACGAGATATAAACTCAGAATTACGATATAAACTCAGAATTATCATATAAACTCAAAATTACGAGATATTAACTGAATTATGAGATATAAACTCTGAATTGTGTGATATGAACTCTGAATTGCGAGATTTAAACTAAGAATAGCAAGATATAAATGCAGAATTGTAAAAGTCTAAATTGTGAGAGAAAAAGTCGCAATTACCTTTATTTTTTTTATTCCGTTGTCAAAACAAGCTTCCATACAAAGCAGCTTCACAGTAATAAACAAGAAAATAACTGTTAATGTTGCGAAATTCTGTGATTCATCAAAATGGTTGAACGAATCCACAATGAAAGCTCTAATCTTGACTGTTAAATGAGCAGAATCCGTGCGATCAGCTGATGCACTCGTGATAGATCGCTTGACGGGTCAGATCTCTGAACGACTCGTTCGACTGGTGTTTGATGGCCAGTAACGAATCGCTCTGTCCCGAGTCTCTCCTTGGCCGATGGCAGAGCTCCAGCACTGAAACACCACAGATCAGACCTGAAATCACACAGAGGATTGTGGGAATGTTCGGTTTCATTTCTAGCTGCCCCTGAGAGCGTCCTTACGTGTTTCTCCTTCAGGTCCTGTAGCCGCTCGTGTCCTGATGCTATTAATTACCGCCTGTAATGTATGCATGGAACAGGCTTTAATGAACACAGAGTGTTTTTATATTAACGAGCGTCTGTGTGTGTTCACTGTGGGAACTGACACAGAAAATGAGGATAATTGTGTTTAATTCACGCGCCGCTGAACACACCTGTCTGTCTCTCTGCCCGTCTGTGGTTTGCTTTCTGTCGTCTCATTGACCTTGTGTCTCTCTGACCGCGTCTGTCTTCACCTCCACGTGCTCTTATTTCATCTCTCTCTCTGTGCTGTTTTCATTTGTATTCTCTCGCGCTCTCGTTTTAAAGTGTTTTATTGGCATGGCAGGATTGTTTGTGTTGCCAAAACAATAAAAACTGAATGTGAGAATCACAGAAGCTGAACTCAACGACACTACTGGCCAAAAGATTGGAAGAATTAAGATTTTTTTAATGTTTCTGAAAGAGTCAAACAGCTGTTTTAGATTCAAAAAATATTTCATATTTTTTAAATGTATTTTTGATCAAATAAATGCAGCCTTGCTGAGCAGAAGAGACGTCTTTAGAAAACACTAAAAAATCTGAACGTTACTGATACTACAGCCTACTTTTAAGTGAACTGGTTGTATTATTTGTGATGGATTGGTATGTTTGTCGTCCTGTCCGTCTGTCTCTGCTTCTGTCTCTCTGTCAGTCTTTAGCGGTGCGCTACCAGTTTCTGCGGAGCGTGTCCTTCCCGTGTCCCGGCGCAGGCTCACGTCTGGAGGACACGCCGACCTCCCTCACCGCCTCATCTGTCTGCACACACGCTGAGCTTACAGACGCGCACAACACCTCACGGGTAACACACACACACTTGTCTGGTTTGCTATCCATGTGGGGACTCTCCATAGGCGTAATGCTTTTTCTACTGTACAGATACATGCATCTGTTTGTAGGCTGCAGTCTGTCATTTACAGTGTTGACACCTTGATTCATTATAATGACAGCACATCTTTTTTCTAGTTTAGTTATGATCTAGTTAGGTTACAACCCATCACTCGATGCAATGTAGACATGCAAATACCATGTATTAAAGCACTAAAGCACATTACACCATTGTTAACTCAATGAGCCATTTATCCAGACATGTGGACATACATGAGATCATCTCACCCATACACACACACACACACACACACTGGTATTCCTATCATTATGGGTTAATTCCATAGGTGTAATAGTTTTTCTACTGTACAAACTGTATTTTCTATGCTCTTACTCTAAACCTACCCCTCACACAGAACTACAGGCATTTTTACATTCTCAAAACACTTCATTCTGGATGATTTACAAGCGTGTTTCCTCATGGCGACCAAAAAATGTCATGACATTTGATCCCCATAACGTAGGGAATACCAGTTACACACACAGATACAGATATGAAGGCATCGTGTCTAATGAGTGCTCATCTTCTGTCTCTCACAGCAGTCCTGTCTCTCTCTCTCGGTGTCCTGTCTCCCTCTGCTGGCCGCTGTGGTGAAGGGTTTCCTGACCCGTCGACTCCTGCGCACTGAACGCGCGTCACACCTCATCAGGACCATCACGGTGAACTGAAACAACAATAAACCTTAACTGAAATAAAACACAAAAAAAGTAAACCTAATTTATTTCAGCTAGTTCCCAATGCAACATTTCTCATTTTCATTTAGTTTGTTGATGTACTAAAACAACTAAAACCAAAACTGAAATAAAATAAATACAAACTTTGTAAATAATAATAAAAATGACAAAAAAAATCAAATAAAATTATAACTAATTAAAATGAAAAGAGAAAATATAAAAATAAAATCTAATGAAAAATATTAACAAACAGTATAATAATATATAAACAATACTAAAATAACACTGCTGTGCTCCATACTGTCACATATGAGATGAATAATTTCTTCACCTCACATAAAGACATTTCATGTCCAGATTACATGTAAAGCAGCAGCTGAACACACGTGATCTGACAGACGTGTTTATGGTGTTTCAGGACACACGGATGTTCCTGCTGACGTTCCAGCATCAGACGGCGGTGAACTGCAGCAAACACGACCTCATGCTGCAGGAGCGCGTCGCGCTACAGGTCAGAACTGCTCTAGAAACACGCCGGACGTGTTCATGACGCTCACGTGACTCTATAAACACACGCCAGATGGCTTCACGATGCTCATGCGACTGTATAAACACATCTCTGTTTGATCATCAGCTGCGAGCCGCGCGGTACGAGCTGCACCAGATCTGCTTCAGCATGAGCTCCTCTGATCGGATGCAGATGATCCACTGCGACCGACAGCTGAGCAGAGACCGCCAACTCAAACCACATGTGAGCAATTATCACTTTATTTCTTTGATTTATTTTCTTATTTAGATTTTTTTAGGGGGTTAGAAATGTTTGTATTTTTTGGGGATGGTTAGATATTTTGTATTTATTTTTTGTTTGTTTTTTCAGGATAGTTTCTTTGTATTATTATTTGTGGGGAGGCTAGATATTTGTATTTATTTTTTGTGATTTGTGTTTTTTTCAGGGCATAGGTTTTTAAAAATATTTTTTGGGTGGTTAGACATTATTATTGATTTGATATTTTCTTTTTTTCTTTATATATTACGGATGAATGTGAGTTGTGGATCTGTGCGGAGCATCTGATGGTTGGATGAGAGTATTTTAAAGCTTCATTCATGAGTTTTGTGTTGTGTGTTTCAGGATAATAAAGTGAAGGGATCCCTCTCTGCCGCCACCAGAAAAGCTTTAGAACGCAAGAAACTCATGTGAGTGAATCTGCAAGAAACACTCATCACATCAGTCAGTCATCACATCACATCTAGTGGTTAAACGGATCGTAGTTGATCCGTGATCCGTACGGACCAAGCCCCACGGTTCGGCACGCATGTGATCTGCGGATTAATTGCAAAATGTAACCATAATAGAGTATAAGTTTATCATTTGTTCGTATTTACACAAGCAAGCGAATTTTAAACAATTCCAGAGAGAAAAGGCGAAGGGAACTCGATTCGTTATTCACATGCTGTTCTCTACACGCACAGCCGCACACACATGAAGCGCGCACACACATTTCAGACTGTGCGCAAACACCGAACTGAATCCTCTTCTGAATCCTCTGAACTGACACATACACATAAAATTATGACAAAATACCCATCTCGACAATCATTCAGGTAAGCGCAGTCAGTTATGTCTCAAGTGAATGAAAACAGCTGAGAAAGAAATCGGATGTGATGTGTATCATTATATCGGATCCGTGCATCAGGTCTTAAAGGGACAGCGGCCTATAAATACTGCTGTTGTCATTAATGATCATCAAACAACAAAACAGCTGTGATAAAAATCTTTATTTAATCTATACAGTGAACACTATGCAGTGTTATTTTCCCTAATTATTACATTTCTGTATTTGAATACTACCAACCTTATTTTATTGTAACACATTCTGTTGTATTTACCTATGCTTGTAATTTGTGTATTTGTTCTTATTTTTACTGGCTGTTCTCTTGTCTCTTTAATCATGTTTAAACTTTCTTAGTTAATCTAGTAGTATTTGCTGTGGTATCAAAGAAGTACTTCGCTTTAAGTAATAAATGGAAAGCAAGTTAAATTGAAATATTTTTCTTTTCTTGCTGATCCAAAAAATGATCCGATCCGTGGGTCAAAAACCGTAACGTGATCCGAACCGTGAGATTTGTGATCCGTTGAACCACTA